GTGCACTGGCCCCCTGTTTAAAAAGTTTGAGGACCCTACTTTAGTTGGTGTTGGAATTTGACAAGATGATTTTAAAATTTATACAGACATACAAAAAGGCAAGAAGATCAAAGAAACTCTTAAAGAGCAGTAAGGTGGGAGGGTTATTCTGCCTCATGGCAAAGACATTGATGAGTAAATCTATAGTAGTAATTAAGGCAGTATAATTTTGGTTCAGGTATAAAGAAATAGACTCATGTGTATGGCTGAAACATGACAGGTAGGTAGAGGAAGGAAGGGCTTTTTGGGAACTGGTACTAGAATAATTTATTTTTACATAGGGGGAAAAAGGGAAATGGGGTTATGTTATACAGATATCAAAATACCAATAGATTAAAGTCCTGAATGTGAAAGTCTTTGTAAAACTTTATAAGAAAAGGTAAGAAACTAATGATTGCAGTCTCAGGAAGAATTTTATAACACAACAAAAAATCCATTATATATAATGGAAAAATATATATTTGACTACATTAAAATTAAGAACTAAAATTCATCAAAAGACTCCATAAGGAAAATGGAGAAAATATATGCAGTATGTATTAAAAAAGGTTAATACCAAGAAAATGTAGAGAATTTCTATAGGGAAGTAGTAAGAAAAAGACCTTCAAAAGGCCTGAATAGCCAACAAGCACAAAAATAGCCACTACGTCATTAAATCACAGTAATTAACCACAATACAATACATTAAATCTGATAAATATTAAGTAGTATTGTGGATGTGGAGTAATTGTTAGCAGTTGCTTGCAAATCATTGCAGGTATAGCCACTATAAATAGGAAATATGGCTAACTAGAAGTTTTATGTATGCATATTTTGTTATTCTGTATTTCTTCTTTTATTGTAGGTGTATATCCGAGAAAATTTTTTGCACAGTTGTACCCTGCACATGTATAGCATCATTTTTCCTGATAGAGAAATGTATAAAACAACTCATTGTGTACCAACAGTAGAATAGGTAAACAAATTTTGGCATATTCATGCAGTGAAACACTATATAGTAGAAAAAATGAGTTATGTACATTTTATATATTACAGTAACTACATACAATAAAAATGAACCCTGCAAAATAGTATTGAGCAAAAAAAAAAATGTCTAAAAGTAGTGTTAATCCGTTTACATATTACTCAGATTTTGTATATATCTGTTTTACAATGATAGGTGGTAAAACCATAAAGAAGTGCTAGAACATGTAAGGGTAGGGATTCCCTCTTGGGAGGAGAAAAGAGGAGAAAAAGATTCAAATTAAAGAGGAGAACATGTTTTATGAGTGTTGTTTCTTGACCTGGCTTCTGGCAGATACAGAGATGTTTGCTCTAATATTTTTTCTAGGTGTTGAAGTATATTTGATACAATTCCCAATAAAGTAAATGGGAAATCAGAGAGTCTAAGGGCAATGAGTTAGTGAAGATAGAACAGAGAAATGGGATGGTATTTGAAGAGCCATGTGGGAAGATTGTCACAAGTTCTGGGGAAGATACTTCCAATCCTGCCTAATATTATTAAAATTCATGCATTCATGATCCCTGTTAACCACTGAGCCTTAGGATAAAGTATGTCATTTCTCCCAGTCATCCAGGCTTAAAACTTGACTGTTGTGCCTACAGGACCCAAATGAGGGATACCACTTATAGTGATTATTTACCTAATTTCTCCAAATCACGTCTAAAGTAAAGGTTATCTAATTCCCATTCTTTAAGCCTCTCCATTTTGAACCCTTCCACTATTTTCTAGCCCCTTCTTTTCCTCCATTCCAGCACTGGTTTCTCTTCTAATGTTCACTTAGTAAATGATACCGCTGTTTACTTACTTGCTTTCTCATTTGTCTTTCATATTTAAGTCTTTGTTTGACTTATCTTTTGGGGTTGAGGGTTAGGGCTGGAGGTGGTATATTGTGAGACAGAAGTCAGGTCAGTTGAAAAAGAGAGTTGCTGCTCTGGTAAGGGAAGAATTAGGTCACAGATGATGAGGGGTCAGGTCATGTGGGGCTTTGTTGTAGGCCATTACAAGACCATTGAAAGGACTTTGGCTTTTACTTTGTTTGAAATGGGGAGCCATTGGAAGGTTTTCAGCAAAGGAGTAGCACCTGACTTAGTTTCGACTGGAAATATTTTGGCTACTCTGAAGAATAGACAGAAGGGCAGATGGATTGGTAGCAGGGAGTCTAGTTGGGAGAGGACCACAGTAATCCAAGTACAGTGCATTGGTAGCTTGCATTAAGGTGACAGCAGTGAAGTTAGTAAGAATTGACTCACTATCTGGGGGCAGGCATTGTCATTTTATTTTGTAAAAACTTGCTAGGAATGTCGGGTGCACAATGAGCGTTGAGGATCTTTGTTGTAGTTTATCAATTTTTATAGGAATGCTGGACTGTAAGCCACACAGGGATCTTCATCAGCTTAAAATTGTAGCGGGTAGAGAAATACAGTGATAAATAGGGAGTGCTTTTACAATTTGACCAAGGTTCTAATCCATGCTACTTTATGTGATCTTGGGCTTTAGTTTTCTCATCTTTAAAATGGAGCTATCTACTTCATAGGCATTTTTGTTACTATTAAATGGACCAGTGTAGACTAAATGAACTTGTATCTGACATATTCAGGCTTAAAAAATAATATGTTAAAGAAAGATCTGATTCATTAGATTGGTAAAAATTTTAGACTGATAATGTTCAGTGTTGATAAGAATTTGGAGGAATAGGTCTCACTGATGAGAATGTAAATGAAGGGTAACTTGGAAATATCCATCAATTTCAATTTCTTTGATCTGTTAATTCTGCTTCTAGAAATTTCATTTATGGGAACACTCTCCCCTATGTTTACATGTTTAGTGCAACATCTTTTAATGGCAAACCATTGGAAACAATTAAAATTACTTTTAATAAAGTTAAATTGTGATACATCCCTTTTATGGAATGCTATGTGGTGCTTAAAATTTATAGATAAGTCTATACATACTGTCATGGAAAGATTACTAGTTTCTGTTTTAGTTTTTAAACAAAGCAGCACCAGTATATCATAGATTATTTACATACTCAGTATTGGACTTTTTAATTCATTTATAACTTCTGCAAATTTTTATTTGAGCCCTTACAGAAAAGGTGATGATTCATAGTAACTTTATACATAATAATACTTAACAAATTATTATAGTACCCATATTTTCTTTAAGGTTATTTTATACATTATTATGATAAAATTGCTTATATACTGTATTTCTGTTTTTAGATATTTAAAGAACTAAATTGCCCTAAAGGAAATTATAGATAGATACACCCAAGGATTTCATTGAAGAAATACATATGAAAATGCTATATGTTCAGCATTTTATTAGGTCATATTGAAGATATAGATGTGTTTTTAAAAATGTGTTTTTTGTATATTATTTTGTTGTCTGCTTCTAGGAATTTGTCATAAGGAAATCTGACAAGTGCATAATCACAAATAATCAATAGTATTCATTGCAGTATTTACAATAGTACAAATTTGCATCTATCAAAGGGACCATCAATAAGTATTATTAAATAAGTTACGATAAACAATGGAATATGCTATAACAATTACAAATAATTAGCTCTGTAGTTATTTAACAGAGAACATGTATATGATCCATAAATCTATTAAGGGGGAAAACAAGTTCGATACATTATCTATAATATCTTCTCTATGGATGGTAAGTCTGGAGTAGTTAGGGAAAGTAAGGAATAGAATAGATTTGGATAGGGCAGCATATAGAAGAGACCTTTTTTTTTAATTGCTTAGCCAGACTGAGTTTGAACCTACCACCCTCGGTATATGGGGCCGGCGCCCTACTCACTAAGCCACAGGCGCCGCCCTAGAAGAGACCATTTTAAATCAGCATGTCTTGACCTTTTTGGACTCAGATTTCTGTTTTTCCCCCTTTTTCTTTCTTTCTTTTCTTTTTTTTTTTTTTTGAGATGGAGTCTTACTTTATCGCTCGCTGTAGATGGCTGTGGCATCACAGCTCAGAGAAACCTCTGGCTCTTGCTTGGGCTTAGGCGATTCTCTTGCCTCAGCCTCCGGAGTAGCTGGGACTATAGGCGCCTGCCACAACACCTGGCTATATTTTTGTTGCGGTTTGGCCGGGGCCGGGTTTGAACCTGCCGCCCTTGGGATATGGGGCCAGTGCCCTACTCACTGAGCCATAAGCGCTGCCCTAGACTCAGATTTTTAATTTTAAAATAATTTTATCAGTATGCACAATGTATGATAAAAACTAATTTTTAAGTCAAAAGTGTTTTATATCAGTATAGTATTAAAAATTGCTTTGTGAGCCAGGTGCAGTGGATTATAACCTGTAATCTTAGCTTCTGGGATGCCACTGTGGGATGATTCTTTGAGTTCAGGAGTTCAAGACCTGTCTGAGCAAGAGTAAGACCCTGGCTTTGCAAAAAATAGAAAAATTAGCTGGATGTTGTAGCAGGTGCCTGGAGTCCCAGCTACTTGGGAATGAATCTCAGGCTGGAGGATCTCTTGAACCTTGGAGTTTCAAGTTCCTGTGAGCTAGGCTGAGGCCATGGCTCTGTAAACTGGGCAACAGAATGAAATTCCATGTTAAGAAAGAAAAAAGATTGCTTTATGAATTTTCATTCTTTGTTCCAGAGTCATTTTTGACTCACAGTAATGATTAGATCTATTTAATTGCATTCCATGTCCCTGTGTAACCATTTATCATATATACTGAAAATAAGCATTTGGTCTCAATTAAATTTCTTGGGTTCCTGGACTTGACAAGTGGCAAGTTGATTTATGGTCCCATGGATAAAGTTCATTGTCTAATCCTCAGACTTTTATGTATATCCCTTGTAAGGAGAGGTAGCATCATTAAAAAATGTATCTATGCGGGGAGAAAGAGAGTGAGCACTTATAAAATTGTATTTGACAGTGTTTAGGAATGCCATGATTCATGGTATTTAAAAAATTTGTATTTTATTCTCTCTTAGGCCGAATACATCAAGCAATGGTAACATCTTTAAATGAAGATAATGAAAGTGTAACTGTTGAATGGATAGAAAATGGAGATACAAAAGGCAAAGAGGTATGACTTAAGTTATTTCTAGTCCTCCAATCAAAATTCTGAATGTGAAATATAGCAGAAAAGAATATAGTTTTATGTAGTGCAGTATTCTTATAATCTTTCTTTGAAAAATTTTGAAATGATTAAAAATTTTCAAAGGAAGATAGGATCCTTTTATGTATCTTACATGATTACATGTGTCAAACCTATTAGATGAAAATTATACTGTTTTAACCAGATTGTATAGTTTGAAACTTGTTTAACAGTTAATTATGTGGTTCTTTTGGTCACTCTGTTGTTTGCAGTTTATATAGTCAAGATTATAAAATGCTATTTTAAGAGAGATTCTTTAACTATGTGTATTATAATTTTATATAATCTAGTTTGCAAGCACTGACATTCATTAGGCTACAGTCATCTCAGAGTTACTCACCTTATGTCAGTTTACTAGAACAATAAGAGGTTAATTGTTAAATTACATCTCAAAATATATGCTGTGTTTTATAAACAGATTGACCTGGAGAGCATCTTTTCACTTAACCCTGACCTTGTGCCAGATGAAGACATCGAACCCAGTCCAGAAACACCTCCACCTCCAACATCCTCAGCCAAAGTAAATAAAATTGTAAAGGTCAGTGATGAAAGTTCAGACAAGGGTATGTATGGTAGGTGTGTGTATATTCTGGTTTGAAATTGGAAGGCTGTGAAGAGTATTGATTAATTTGCTTTTAAAAAAAAAAAAAAACTTTCATTCTTTCTGCTATCCATATCTGTGTATTACACCTAAGTACTTTAAAGGATTCAGATCGTTTAATCGCAGTTAGGATAGTTACTAGAAAAGATCCTAGAATTTACTTGTCTGATTAGGATTTTTCCTAAAACTTAATAGCTTTTTAGGAGATAGGAGTCAAAACCATTTGTTTTTTAGTGTTTGTGGATGAGTATATATGACTTTGACAAAGGAATTATAGCTGTTTATTATTAATACCAACCTTGAGAGTTTTTTGAAATGAAAATTTTGCTGTTTATGTTAAAGAAAGATGGAAAATGATAGTGTGTAATTTACCTGTTACCTGTGAAGATAAACCATGCTGTGTCTTCCCTAGCAATTTTATCTTTACGTAGTTAAAAGCACATTGTTTTTATTGTCTTTTTCTTTTTTTTTGAGACGGAGCCTCAAGCTATCCCCCTGGGTAGAGTGCCATGGCATCACGCTCACAGCAACCTCCAACTCCTGGGCTCAAGCGAGTCTCCTGCCTCAGCCTCCCAAGTAGCTGGGACTATAGGCGCCTGCCACAATGCCTGGCCATTTTTTGGTTGCAGCCATCATTGTTGTTTGGCGGGCCCGGGCTGGGGATTCGAACCTGCCACCTTAGGTGTATGTGGCTGGCGCCTTAGCCGCTTGAGCCACAGGCGGCGAGCCTGTTTTTATTGTCTTTAAAGATATTTCCTCTTCCATTCTCTCAAAACCCTTTCACTATTAAAATTTTGTATTGTATCAAAATATAATACAACTCTGACTGGACACTGTGGCTAATACCTTATATACCTAGTACTTCACCCTTTCACTATTAAAATTTTGTATTGTATCAAAATATAATACGACTCTGACTGGACACTGTGGCTAATATCTTATATTCCTAGTACTTCAGGAGGCTATGGTCAGTGAATCTCTTGAGCCCAGGAGTTAGAGACAAGCCTGAGCAGCATAGCAAGACCTATCTGTACCAAAAATAAGAAAAGTTAGCCAGGTGTGGTGGTACGCTTTGTAGTTCCAGCTGCTTGGGCGGCTGAGATGGAAAGATTCCTTGAGCCTCCAAGTTTGAGGTTGCTGTGAATTTTGATGATACCACTACACTGGCAACAGCCTGGGCAACAGAGCATGACTGTGTCTCCAAAAAAGAAAAGTACAACTTGGTTTAAACAAGATAGTACCACAAAGTTGTTGAATCTGCAGTTCTTTGTGTTCAGTTCAAGAAGCATTTATTGATTGTTTTTGCATTGTGCCACGTACTGTGCTAGACAAAACACAAAGATAAATGACATGGCTTTTAGCCTACGTGAAATCAGTATCTCACAGACGGGATGTAATAAGCATTCACATACAGTATGATAGAAGCTAAACAATACCAACAAAATATTCTGTTTTGTAAACAACGTACATGTACATGAAGGCGATACTCAATTCATGTGTGTTTAATCATGGTGTGAGTCACTGCTTAGAGGTCATTATTACCAGTTGTAAATAGACTGTTTTCATATTTGGCTTCAAAACCTTGGAAGATCTTCACAGTTTATTCTTCTTGGTATGTCATTAGCAATACTTGCTATACAAAAATACCTGGAGAATTTCTTAAAATACTGATTTATGAGCCCCATTCCCAGAGGTTTAATTTTGTTTTATCTCAGGGGAAGCCATAGCATCAAAGTCCTTTTAATAGTATCCATTTGACTTGAATGTGCATCCAGAGTGGCATTATTTGATATGTTTTTTTTCCTTAGGTGTGAATAAAATGAAATCTTATTAAGTGAATAATATGACCAAAAGTTTGCTGTCCAACTCTAATGAAACCCTTTTATGCCAATATACATTTCATAGTATTCTGATATTTCCTTTTAATTAGGAATTCTTGGCTATCTAGAACAAATATTTTATGGTTTACTTCCTGATAACTATTTATTAAGTGGTTTTGGTGGAATAGCATGGTGATTAAAAATATCATACAAATTACAGTGAAGGAGTTTAATTTCTCTGCTTCAGTTTTCTCATCTATGAAATGGGAATAGCAGTGGTAATTGCCTCATAGAGTTGTTGTAAAGAAAGTCCTTAAAGCAGTATTTGGCTTGTGTTAATGCCTGAATATTTTTGGAGGGTAGGAGGAAAAAATACCTCATATAAAGAAACTTGAATATTGATAGCATTAGTGGTAAGTCTTTAGAAGATAATAGTTCTTCATTTAGTTTTATATTATTGTATATATTTTTATCTTTTTTTTTGATACAGTCTTACCATGTCATCCTCGGTAGAGTGTCACAGCTCACAGCAACCTCAAACTCTTGGGCTTAAGCGATTCTGTTGCCTCATCTTCCTTAGTAGCTGGGACTATAGGCGCCTGCCACAACTCTTGGCTATTCTTTTGTTGCAGTTTGTCATTGTTTAGCTGGCCTGGGCTGGGTTCAAACCTGCCAGCCTCTGGTGCCCCGACCCACTGAACTATGGGCACCGCCCTATCATTATATTATTTTGATAAAATAAATATTTTTTATTTTATAGAATCGACGGACTGTGGCAGCAATTAAGAATGATCCTCCGCCAAGAGATAATAGAGGTAAAATAAAAATTTATCTTCTTCATTTTGTCTGCTGACTTTTACTGTGTCCCTGAAAAAGTAAATCAAAAGCATTACCCTCAGGGATGTTCTTCATTTAAACTTTATGTAGCTAGTTTTAAAATTGACATCTTCTTGGTTTCCGAACACAATAATGTCAAAAATATCAAATAATGATTTTAAAAATGTGTATGATGAATGTGGAACTCCATGAAATATGTCATCCAGTTTACTCCATAATTTGCAGGTTGGAGGATAGTATTATGAGATTATCCATGAGATAAAAAACATAGTTTCTTTTCTACTATTTAGCAATTCAAAATTATCCTTTCTAACAGTGATGTTTTTCTCTGTGTGGGAGATGGGGCAGGACAGACAGAAGTATTCAAGGGATTAAAAGTAGAGGGAAAGTCCTTCTGTTTAAATGTTATCCTTTGAGTCTTGTGAAAATTTATATTCGTATATAAAATTTTATATTTCATTTCTTATCCTTTTTCCACCTTTATAATATCCATACTGGGAAATTCTTTGCTGAAGATTTGCATATTTGCAAAGAGTGGGATTTGGAATATATGGAGGGTTGAAGGACATTTTTCTTTTCTGTGTGTTTAAATAGTGTGAATTTTAAAAAGTGAGAACACATTTAAAATTTATATTCCATACATATGTTTTATGAGGATTCCTTTGCAGTCTGAAATCATAAGACATGGAGAGGGTTTCACATATATATTTTTTAAATGATTATTAAAAATCAAACTTGGCTTTGTTTTTATGTGAATTATTAAGATTGAGTTTTGGGGTTAAAATTACATTTTTAAAACTAAAGTCTGCATGTTTTACATTAAAATCCTTTTTTAGTTTGTGTCAGTTTATTAAGCAGAACTGATTTATATGTGTATAAATGAAATACAGTGTATGTAAATAGAAAACTTGGCAATTCACTGATGTAACTTTTAAGCGTGAGTTTTTTTGAGATGTCTCTTCCTTATACCAAAGTTAGTTTTACTAATTTTCTGTTTTGAATTTAAAATATTTTTACTTGCAGTGGTTGGTTCTGCACGTGCACGGCCTAGTCAGCTTCCTGAACAGTCTTCTTCTGCACAACAGAATGGTAGTGTTTCAGATATATCTCCAGTTCAAGCTGCAAAAAAGGAATTTGGACCCCCTTGTATGTAAATTACGTATCAAGGATTCAGTCATTTTAGGCATACATGTATTCTCTCTTGGTCATCCTTATCAGTCCCCACATAATATCAGTTTCATTACAGACTTGATTGCAGTTTTCATTTTAGTTTAGTCTGTTAATTGGATTTTTAAATGTATATTTTGGAGAAAAAAAATTTGTGAAATTCTAACAGTGTTTCAATTGCTTTGAGTTTGAATTCTGGGCAGATGGCAGATGTTTCAGAAGAAAGTTTTGTGCTCTTTGATCTTTGCAATTCAAAGATCTTGATTCTAAACCAAGAGATGACATGTATCAATATGTTTGAGTCATTTTTCTGGACTTTTCATTTGTCTTGTTCCTAATTTTGATACAACAGCTCATAAGTAGAGCTTACATAGTTGTTACAGGCATGCTTTGTCACTGTGTACCTTTTTTGTGTCTATGTGGTGAAATTATACATAAAATTTTTGAGTGTAAGTACAGTACGCTAAAAATGAAAACTATACACCCTAAGCTCATCTTTTTCTTTCAGCACGTAGGAAATCTAATTGTGTGAAAGAAGTAGAAAAATTGCAGGAAAAACGAGAAAAAAGGAGATTGCAACAGCAAGAGCTTAGAGAAAAAAGAGCCCAGGTTTGTATCACAAATAGTTTGTGTACTGAGGATTAGACTGTATTAATGATTTACTTGTGAGAAAATAGTTCAGGGATTCATGGCCAGTAGTCGTGGCTCATGTATGTAATCTCAGCACTCTGGGATACTGAGGCAGGAAGAGTGCTTGAGCTCAGGAGTTCAAAACCAGCCTGAACAAGAACGAAACCCTAGCTCTACTAAAAATAGAAAATCAGGTGGGCATTGTGGCAGGTGCCTGTAGTCTCAGCTAACCCAGGGCTGAGGCCATGGCACTCTAGCCTGGTCAACAGAATAAGACTCAGTCTCCAAAAAAAAAAAAAAAAAAAAAGATGGATTTATTTAAAGGACTGCAAAAATTCCTTAAATTGATATTGAGGTATAATACAGACTCCTGTGAAAATAAGTTACCATAACAAATTTTCATTGCGCTTACTTTTCATGTCTTCAATGAGTATGTGTTACCCTGAAAGTTTGTTCCATTATCAGTAATAAGCTATTGTGTTTAAGAATTCTGATGCGTATGCTGTAATACTCAAGAATAATAGGCTTTTGATTTTAGAATGATAATAAAAAATGGTTTAATAGCAATAAGAAAATTGCATAGAAGGTTGGTCTTTTATTCCCCCTAGGTCTTTACATATTAGAAATTGTGTTATTGTACATGTAACTCCTCTAGTATAATTGTATTCTATCTGTTATATTCTCAATACCTGTTACTTATAACAAATTGTCAGTATTATTTATTTAATAGAATGTTCAAATGCTCTTAATCAGGTTAAACTACGAGTTCAGATGTTGTGTTGTAAAAATGTAGACCCAGTATGATAACCTGAATAAATCAGCTTTTATCTGAAAGAGACCTGAGCATAGCTAGTTGGGTTTTGAAATAAATAATAGTACACAAAACAGATATCTACTGGCACAGATGCCACCTTGTGTTTCCTATGGGTGTTTCATAATACCTGCACATCTCTTTGTGGAATTCTCATTTAACATTCTGCTTCTCAGTTGATATTGTTAGTATTATTTCTTAGAAAATTAATTGAAAGTAAGTTTTAGTAACAGTTTTATAACTTAACTATATTCAAAAGAAATCTGAATACATAAATCTAACTTTTTTTTAAATCTAATCATTTGTTTTTCATGGATATGAGAGGCTGTTTACTATTGCTTTTTGTATCTTAGTCTGAATTTTCTCAGGTTTTTTTTTCTTTTTTTTTTTGAGACAGTCTCTCACTTTGTTGCCCTTGGTAGAATGCCATGGCTGGGGTGTTATAGCTCATAGCAACCTTAAACTCTTGGGCTCAAGTAATCCTCTTGCCTTAGCTTGGGGTAGCAGAGTCTACAGGGGCCTGCCATAAGACTCAGCTATTTTTTGACACAGGGTCTTGCTCTTGCTCAGGCTGGTCTTAAACTCCTGAGGTCCAGCAGTCTACCAGCCTTGACCTCCCAGAGTGCTAGGATTACAGGCATGAACGACTGTGCCTGGCCTAGAATTTTCTCAGTTTTGCAGCAAAAAAGTAAATTGCAGTTAGCATTCAATAATATTAAATTTGAAGATTTTAAAAAATATCTTGGTCCCTGGTTCCTTTAAGTTTTATGTCCTCTCAATTTGGGGTTTATTGGAAACAAAACTGTTTTATCATGCCTTTGTTTTTTTAGAGAGTCAACAAAAATAGGAAATGAAGATAAACGTATCAGTATTTCTACTGTGCTGAAACATGGGATTAAGAAATTAGAAGAAGAATCTGATTGAATTAATTTTTCTAGAGTTCTTTGCCAGGGATGCAAATGAGCACTGTTTCTCTTTTGCTCCATTTTCTAGGATAATTCCGGTATATGAATAACAGATGGATTTTTGAAATAGGTAAAGGTGACTTTAGTGAGAAGCCTTTAGTTTGGAGTAACAGAGTACATGCAGAGTAAGAGAATTGTTTTTAATATGGACGTGATTCTAAACATATTATCCTGAACTTTGAAACTATGTAATATCTTCCATTTGAGTTTAGGCTTAGTTATGACAGAGACATATGACAAATGCAGTAAATATATTATAATCATTATAAATGGTGAATTCTCTCTGTATTCAATAGGATGTCGATGCCACAAATCCAAATTATGAAATTATGTGTATGATCAGAGACTTCAGAGGAAGTTTGGATTATAGACCCTTAACAACAGCAGATCCCGTAAGATTTTTTATAAACCATTACTCTTGAACTTTTTTTGTTTTAAATGACAAAGTGCTTGATACTCATTAAATTGATATTGCATTTAGCTATATAGTTTTTCCTCTACTTATGGGTACCATTCTGCATATTTTAAGAAGATAATCAAGAAAACTATCCATATTTATTATGTTCATTTCCCATAATTTGATAAATGAGACATGTCACCCACAGAAATGTCCTTTTCGAGTAAAGTTTCCTTGTCTTTGGAAAGGCAGAGTGAAAGTTAACTGAATGACAGCAAAAACTCAGTTTCCTTTCTGACCATCAGTTATACTTTGATCTCAGTCCTAAGCTTATTTTCCTCTTTTGCTTGGGCTGTAGATCTGTCATCATTCCAGATTACTATTAATAGTCTGTTATTTTAATGTAAATTTTATTCTTGTCTTTTAACAGTTAAGTGTTGTTGAGGGCTGCAGTGGACTAGAAATCTAGTATGAGAAAAAATGTTCTGCTTTAATTACCTCCTTTCCTGTTAAAGAATGCAAACATATTGGATAGGGAATACTTTCGTCAGAAATTGATCCTTAAGAAAAAATAATACATCTGACCTAGGAAAAAATGTGTTAGTTATGAAAAATACATTTGTGTTAGACATGTATTTTATAGAATTAAATAGAATTGTTCATAGTATAAAAGTATAGAATAGTTTATAACCCTTTGGTTAACTCCTGTTTGTAGCTTATGTATTTTAGACCTTGCTCCCCCACTGTGTGTTTCACCTACTAAATCTAGGCTCATGTTTTAAGATAGGAATTGGCAAACTTGTTCTGAAAGTAAATATTTTTGTCTTGGTCACAATTATTCAACTCTGCCATTGTATTTTAAAAGCTTATACACACGCACACACACACACACACACACATATCAAAAAGAATGGGTATGACATTTATTTCAATCAGTGTGTTTCAACAAACCTTTACAGAAACAAGTAGTAGTCTAAATTAAGCCCACAGCCAATACTTTGTCAATTCTTGCTTTATAGTAATTATTAAAAGGAGGCATGTATTGTAAACATGAGGTTTATGCAAAAACCTCATATATATACATATGAGGTTTTTATATATATACTTATATATAAGAACTGATAAATTTATAAAACTGTTCAAAATGTTTTGCTCAGTAATCTTCTAAGACTACTGTTGCCTGTAGTGATCTTTGCCAACAACTTTTCCATAATGAACCTGAAAAAATGCTACTTGGTAGAATAAAAATTTTTAATTTTGTCGTATACAGTACAACAAATGTGAAGTAAGTGCTACTAAAACAATAGTACCCTAAAAATAGTAGTATCCTCTACAAAATTATTTCCTAAGGTGATGGTTTACTAAAATAACAAAAGAAGCAAAAGTTTGTATAACACTCAGGATTTTAGAAGTATTACATTTGACAACCATTATAATTTGAGTAAAGCTAATTTATTTTTAAAGCTTACATATCATATTTATGCTATGTATAAATTTCTGAAACCCCTGAAGGAAATAGTACATAGTATTACATAGTTGACTTTTCAGTGTTTCATATAACACATATAACCACTGAAATAAAGTATTTTTTATTCCTAGATTGATGAACATAGAATATGTGTTTGTGTAAGAAAACGACCACTCAATAAAAAAGGTATGATACTTAATGAGCTCTCATAGAAGGCTGATTTTATCTTAATTGTAAGGCATTTTGATAATAGCACAAATCAAAACAGTTTGGAAAAATGTAAATTTCCTTTCATTTGTACATAACTATTATGCAGATGTATATGACTAGATTTGTTGGTTTGTTATTGCTATATGAATCATTGCAATTCCTAGTTCTTGCTTCACAGAAATTTTGATTTTTTTGCTTTGTTCTTGGAAATAATTTTGTTTTATGGAGTAACATATTTATGGGATGTTTTCTTCATATTTATAGAACTTATGACTTTTATCTAAATTCTTACTACTTGAAATAATTTTTGTACATTAATTTGAATGCTGTGAAAATTGCTGGGCATTGATTTTCATTTATTCTTTTAGAAACTCAAATGAAAGACCTTGATGTAATAACAATCCCTAGTAAAGATGTTGTGATGGTACATGAGCCAAAACAAAAAGTAGATTTAACAAGTTACCTAGAAAACCAAACATTTCGTTTTGATTATGCCTTTGATGACTCAGCTCCTAATGAAATGGTTTACAGGTAGGTAAATTCTTTTAAAATCAGATTTAGTTCTTATGCCATGTTCATCGCCACTCAGAAGCATATATTAATTCTGCAGTATTTCTCCAGAAGTGCAGTACACTTTTTCATTCTGAGTTCAGACAAAGGAAATGTTACAAACATTATAATGAGTGTTAACACTTGTAAATGTTCCTCAGAATCATAGTTTTCATTGTTACTTGCCAATTGGTTTATTATATATGTATAATATAAAACACAAACTACGTATGTGGACAAGAAATTTCTGGAAATTTCTAGGAGCGAAATGTGATGGGAAGAGGACTTTTAATTTTTACCTTTCAAAATCTGTACTAGTAAAGAAATTTGAAATACCTGTTGTTAGTATATTGTTAATTTGTCTAAATCTTTATTTAGCATGTACTAATAGTTAAAAGGAAAAATTTCTATAAACTTATTTACATTTGCTTAATTTTATGATCTTTAAGCTTTGAGATAGTTTTAGTACATGAGATTCTTGTATGTTCATATATTCATCTTATCATCAGTTCAGAATTACATTGTATTGTACATTGATGTCCCCAGTTTTTATGCCAGACTTAGATTTTAATCAGTTTTCAAACATTCGTTTTTAATAATTATGTCTTTCTCCAATTAAAAGACCCTTATCATACATTTTTAATAATTATAACAAAGTTTTAGCAGCATTGCTATTTTAGCCTCTATTGACTATCTTTGCTATGTTTTATTGCTCTCTAATTTTATAAAAATGACTAGATAAAAGGCCAGGCGTGGTGGCTACTGCCTATAATCCTAGCACTCCAGGAGGCTGAGGTGGGCTAATAGCTTGAGCTCAGGAGTTTAAGACCAGCCTGAGCAAGAGCAAAACCCCGTCTCTACTAAAAAGAGCCAGGTGTTGTGGCAGGGGGCTATAGTCCTAGCTACTCAGGAGGCTGAAGCAAGGGAATTACTTGAGCCCAGGAGTTTGTGGTTGCTGTGAGTTAAGATGCCACAGCACTCTACCCAGGGAGACAGAGTGAGACTCTATCTTAATAAACAAAATAACTGGTAAAGAGAAAATTAGTGTTATTGAGACTCATAAGAATTAAAGGTGTTCAAATGAAACACTGTTGAGACCACCTTCATTTGTCTTTAGTCAGTAAATTGGAAGTTCAGTTGTAAAAGAAAAAAGATCAAATTAAAGAACATACGAATGCTGTGTAGAGATATTGTGAAGACTGTGTTTAATTGTAAATTGGTTAAGCACCCATTTATAATGTTTTTTTTTCCTTCTCACTATGTTGCCCAGACTGGAGTGCAGGAGTGTAGTGGCACAGCCGTAAGTCACTGTAGCCTTGAACTCTTGAGCTTAAATGGTCCTCCTGCCTCAGCCTTTTAAGTAGCTGGGACTATAGGCATGTTCCACCACACTTCAATAATTTTTCTTATTCTTTGTAGAGACAGAGTCTTCTGATTTGTCCAGGCTGGTATCTGACTCCTGGACTCAACTGATCCTCCTAGCTCTGCTTCCTGAAGCGTTAGGGTTTGCTGGTGTGAGCCAGTACATCCGACCTTAAGACTGATTCCTGCTCCTGTTTGACCAGAATGTTTTTCTGCTCCCTTTGTTCTGTGCCGCCTTCAGTTTTTCCTTAAGAAACAAACAAGAGTTGTATAAAGTGTTCTACTTGTAGATTTGGTTTTTTATACTTTTTAGTGTTCTGCTCAGTGAAGAAGTGTTTATTATCCCTTCCCACCTTCTTATTTTAACTATGGTAGTGATTATACCAATGTGTTTAAAACATAATTCAAGCCATAATATTTAGGCATTCTTTTCTTGAAGCAGGACTATCAACTCAGAACAATATTGTCTTATAAGCACAATTTTTATTCTTTTTTCCTTAAGTATAAATTACTTGTCTACATTAAAAGTAATTGTTTTTCTACTTATTTAGATGGTCTAAAGATAATGTTGTTGCAAATTTTTCCCCAGTAGCTTTTTTCTATTGAGATTACCACTTTTTTAAATTCCATTTTTGTTGAAATTATAGTCAATAATTTTTGTTTTCGTTATCCAAAACAATGGCCTATGGTGCCATTGTTTATTATGGAATTATTGATTTAAATTATGCTTTAAGTAGCTATAAGACGGTTTTCTAGGATATGTTTATTTAAAAATTTTAACAAAGATTGGCTTAAAATCTTGTTACAAATTTTATTTATTAATAAAATAGTTTGTATTACTTAGTATTACTTTTGTTACTTAAATATCAGCCAACACTTTCTGACTGATGTATTTTCTTTCTAAGGTTTACTGCTAGACCACTAGTGGAAACTATATTTGAAAGAGGAATGGCTACATGCTTTGCTTATGGGCAGACTGGCAGTGGAAAAACTCATGTAAGTAATTCATTAAAGTTACATTGTGGCGTGAAGCTACACTATCTTTTCCTTACAGCTTAATTCTAAGACTTAAATTCTTAGGACTTATTCCTGAATAATCTCTATTTCTTATCTTTTTTTTAAAAATACAGACTATGGGTGGTGACTTTTCAGGAAAGAACCAAGATTGTTCTAAAGGAATTTATGCACTAGCAGGTAACTGTTCTTTTTGCATACAATTTGGAATATTCTTAGATACTCTTTTAGGTAGGCAGCTTTGAAAGAAGGCTTGACAGTGTTGTTCAGCAACTGTATAAGATTACTGTGTATTTTGACAATTTTAGGTTATTAGATTGCTTGAAAAGAACTGTAAGATTGAGTTTGGGGGCAAAAATCTTGATTTTTTTAATTTGTGTCAATGTATTCTGGCACATTTTGGAGGTCAGTATTAATTGTTGAATGGCTGATTTTTTTCTGTTTTTTTTTTTTTTGAGGCAGAGTCTTAGTATATTGCCCTTGGTAGAGTGCTGTGGCGTCACAGCCCACAGCAACCTTAAAGTCTTGTTCTTAAGTGATTCTCTTGTCTCAGCCTCCCAAGTAGCTGGGACTATAGGCGCCTGCCACATTGCCTGTCTATATTTTTTGTTGTAGTTGTCGTTGTTGTTTAGCGGGTCTGGGCCGGGTTTGAACCCGCCAGCCCTGGTGTCTATGGCTGGTAGTCTAACCACTGAGCTATAGGCACCAAGCCTGAATGACTGAATTAAAAAAAAAGAAACTACTTGATATAGTATGAGAATAATATTATTTTGACCACCTATGATTTTATACTATTTATAAGTAGTAGCATCCTTTTATGAAATTTGGAAGGAAAGTAGCATCTGTTACTACTATTTTCTTGTAAAATTAAATTCATATTTTTATTGTTGATACTATGATAGTAGGTAATGACTAATTGATTCTTCTAATAATAGAAAATTTGAGTTGTTTCTTAAAAATATTTGTTGCATCTTAATTTTCTGTATATGAAATTCTTGATAGCTCGAGATGTCTTTTTAATGCTAAAGAAGCCAAACTATAAGAAGCTAGAACTTCAAGTATATGCAACCTTTTTTGAAATTTACAGTGGAAAGGTAAGTGGGAATTTGTTTTTAATTTTTTTAATTGTGGTAAAATATAATAATATAAATATAAATAAATATATTTATATAATATAAAATTTAATATTTTAACTATAACTTCATGACATTAAGCACATTCATATTACTGGGCAATTTTTACCACCCAAAATTTTTATGTATATATGGAATTTTTATGTTAGAGTTTGTTTTAAGATTTTTAAAAAATGTCCATTGAAAAATTTCAGTGTCAGTGTTGAGCATTATTATTATTACTCTAATAATAATTATTATTTTAACCTCTGAAATAATTTTCAGACTCCATGAGTGACTCATTTTTATAGAACTGATTCTCTTTAAATCTAATTTAATATGGTTTCTCATAGGTGTTTGACTTGCTAAATAGGAAAACAAAATTAAGAGTTCTAGAAGATGGAAAACAGCAGGTTCAAGTGGTGGGATTACAGGAACGAGAGGTCAAATGTGTTGAAGATGTACTAAAACTCATTGACATAGGCAACAGTTGCAGGTAAATCTCACTTTAATTAAGAAAGGAAACTTCAGTTTTAAATACTTCAGGTATAGCATAAAACCATAGCAAGGATAGTACCAAGGTCACTATGAAAGTTTTGAGACAGACTATGTAAAGGTCCGTTATTTCACTTCTAAGAAATTTGATAGCAACATCCTCTTTGATACATCTGTGCAAGTTTCAACTTGCTTGGCTTGTCAGTGTTACTGAGAGGCCTCATTTGTTTCCATCTGTAGGGCTCTCAGTCATCATCAGCTGTCAAACTGGGAAGAGGGCACTAGGGCACTTTCACACGTTATATTTCTGTGATTTCAAAAGTGGGTTAAACAAATCTCAAAGCCTTGAACATTTGCAATGGGCTTTCAGGTGACCTTTACTACTTTCTGCACAACAATTTTTCCATGGTTTCAAGAATTTAGAAGAGGCTGAACTTCACTGAAAGGCAAGGAGAGGTGTGAGCATCTGGCTACCGCAGTGACTGAAGAAAACATTGCTGTTGTGGAAAAAATGGTTCGCAAAAACATTTGAGTGACATTTAAGAACACTGAAGCAGCACTACAAATTAGATCTCTGGCAGTGTCCAAAATCCTGCATGATCTTCAGGTTAGGAAAGTTTCATCCTGATGGATGCCTCACACTTTGACAGGAACAAAACCGCATCTGTGTTGAATGGTGTAAAGAAATGCTGGTCAGATCAGACTGAGGTGAGTCTAGATGCATTTCTGACATCACTACTAGTGACAAAACCTGGTTTTACCAATTTGATTCAGAGAATAAGCCTCAGTCGACACTGTGGATTTTTATACTAACAAAAGTGAAGTAGCCCGAAGTGTCAGAAAGAAAATGGTGGCAACTTTCTTTTCCAAAAGTGGTCACATTGTAGCTATTATTCTTGGAGGAAGAAAGGACTGTTACTGTCCAGTGATACACAACAGTATGCTTACCAAAAATTTTCCAGAAGCTTCAAGAACAGCAGCCAAAGACAAGGACTGTGGGGCACCATTTTGCACCAGGACAGTGTGTCTACACACACAGCCAACATCACTATCACTATTCAGTTCTTGGAGTCCAGAGGTTAGACTTATAACTTACATACCCTGCGGTCCCATGCGATTATTTGCTGTTCTTTACAGTAAAAAAATCGCATGGGTGGAAAAAGGTTCCCTAGCCCTAAAGATGCTATTTTTGCCTAAGAAAATGAGTTTACAGTACTTGAAGAAAATAAGTGGAAAGAGTGTTTTTAAAAATGGTTTACAAAACGAACATGCATGGAATGTCTTGGCATTTATTTTGAGAAAATACAGTAATCAAAATGATTTTACATTTCTAAATCTTTGTGTATCTCAAAACTTTTGTAGTGTCCTTCATATTCAGTACACCTTGGAAGTAAAAATCATTGTTTATAAAAATATTTTACGTATATTGAATGGCAAATTTGCGTGACACTTTAATACTATACTGCAAATATTAGAAATACACCAGATTAAATTATATGAATTTGGTTATAGTTATATGTTATTAACTGAAAATGTTTGATCTCCATTTAAATGATGAAAACTAGCTAAACAGGTGGGGGGTGGTTGTTTTTAATAAAAATATGGTGGTTTGAACATGTAAATTGAAGTTTTTATGTATCAAGATGTTCTTAATCACGTTATAGAACATCCGGTCAAACATCTGCAAATGCTCATTCATCTCGAAGCCATGCAGTGTTTCAGATTATTCTTAGAAGGAAAGGAAAACTACATGGTAAATTTTCTCTCATCGATTTGGCTGGAAATGAAAGAGGAGCTGATACTTCCAGTGCAGACAGACAAACTAGGCTTGAAGGTGCTGAAATTAATAAAAGCCTTTTAGCGCTCAAGG